AAAATTATGGAAAAACGTAAAAAAAATTCTGTTCTAATACTTTATAATTACGAGTATAATGAACGAACCTTGAAATTAAAATAAAGTACTCTTCTTTCTCTTTCTACGATATACCTAGTTTGACTTTACTTTTGCTTGGTTGTTTGTCCTTCTTTCACGTCGAGAGTGACAGATTGGCATGATTTTTAACACGCTTTTGTTAGTCCCACATGTATGTTTTTAACGGAATTTTTCCCTAGAAATTATAAAGTCTACTATACCTACTGGCGGTGTGTAAGACTACAAGCTTATGCCAAAACCGACTCCCCGTCTCTTTACATAAATTTACAAAATGATTAACTTGAAAAGCGAAAAAAATGCTTTGTACAATATTTTTTATACTACTTTTACAAATCGTACCAATGGAATCGTACCAACTGATATCGAGCACCCCACGCTTTTTTCACAATAACATTAATTTTCTCGTTAATCACGTTGTTCTTATACATACAATTATTTATTACTTAATACTTTCTTAGATTTACGCGAATATTTGACATTTTAAATAAAACTACCTTTTCGGATTTTTTCGCGGATTTATTTGCATTTTTGGTTCCCGACGTTCGAATGCTTTACAGCAATCATGGTCACGGGAGAGACTGAGGTGTTACATGTCTCGAAGGTATAGTTGTTACAGACAGCCTACCCACAAATAACAAAATGAAAATTGCACCTATTACCTTACAATATTTTTTAACTTTAAACATTTTTATAATTTTAATTAGTTTTATAATTGAACGTGGAATATCATTCATTTAATTTTTGCTGTTATCATTATAATTATTACAATTTTAAAAATATTAATTAGTAATCTATATTTCGTGTTGCCATTATTATATTTATAACCATAAAGAAAAATATAAAATATAGTATTAATTATCTAAGCTATATAATTGTTCTATGTCTAATTTAAAAAGTTAATGAAGGATAATTATTTTAATTTAGTTTGCTGTTATTTAAAAAGACAAATTACTAAGCAACACTATTACTATATACTTTTACAATAAATATTTGTATAAATATAATAATGGCAACACTAAATACCAAACAACAACACAACACTAAATAACATTTTGCTTTCAATTCTTGTAAGATCTCTCTATTCTTAGATATTTGAACATTTAAAGTGTAGAATGTAGACTAAGTCGCACAGTTCAAGTAAATATGGAAGTCCACGAACAAGAGGTGGTGAGTCATAACATAAAATCTATCCTGACAATGGATCAGCGCGCAAAGCGCAGGAGTTGCGCAAGCTTCGCTGTATCGAGCTTTGTGAAAGTCCGCCGCGACGCGACGCGCGCCCCAGCGCTTACTTGTGCTTGTGACATTCGATTATTAATCATAATTAACCTTTCCATTTATAATTTTAAAATTAATTAGTAGGATTTAAATGTTATATGTATAATGAAAACCACCAGAATATACTTCAAACGTATAATAATAATAGATTCACATATAAGAATTACACCACACTTAACACTACATATATCACTACTTTTACTAAAATTACACAACACAGTTTCAGCATAACTTCACCGTAACTCTTACTAAATTAGAATGAATCCCAATCATAAAAAGCACTCCTTATATAATAATTTTAATTTCAATCCACCCACCTTTTTAATAATTATAATAGAACTTCAACTACTTCCGGCGTAATCTCTAAATCATATTGAGCCATTTAAGTATTTAATTTATAAAAGCAAACTTAAAATATAAAATATAATTTCATTGAAACTTCAATTAATAACAATAAATATAGGTTAATTTGAATATATCGAACAATTTTGGCATTAAAATTAATAAATCACAACATATGGATTTATTTATAGAACTATCTTTTCTGATAATGTCGCGAATTTATGTTGATTTTTGGTTCCATACTTGTTACAGATAGTGCCTATATATTGACCTTTAAGACGTGTAAAACCTTAGTCTCTCCCGTGACCATGTGCGCTATAAAGCATTCGTTGGTATAACGTCGGGAACCAAAAATCAGCACAAAAATTAAGAGTAAATAATAATAAGTGCAATTATGTAAAAGTCACAATTTCAAAATAATTGCACTATAATAAAATCATCACTTTATTATTGAGTACAAAGCCGATAAAATTCGACAGAGGCGCAGAGATTCTGAGTAAAATTCTCGCGCGTAAAGTCCCGGGGCAAGTGCTAGTGTCTGTTAAAATGTTATTGTATAATTAAGTTTAATCGTTATATTAATAAAAAAAACTGTTGGAACGTAAAACGTACATATATCAGCGAGTTAGAGTCGTACACAATCTAACACGGTATAAGTATATTATAATTAATGACAATTATATCATTCTATGTCGAAACTTTAAACCAAAGAAAGTGGAAGTGGTTTTTTCTCATGACTTAAATTGTTATGTCAAACTCAGTGCTGCAATTAAATTAATTACCCGTAAGTCGCCTCTACAGAGCAGCTCTCTGCGCGGGACAAAAGTTTAAAGATTGTATCAAATGTAAATGTGCATATTATATAAGTTATAAAAGCTCGTATACAATTACTATTTAAAACTAAATTTATACACAACCAGAAACTTTTTATATTGATCTTCAAGCACCCACATACTCTATCGAAACAAGTCTGCTCATCTAAAAATTCAAATGAAAAGATCTCAAAGGCAAAAGTTTACGAACCGGTTAGGTTCGATGAATAAAGAACATATTGAGATGGTATTGAAAGAAGAGAAAGGGTGCTTCCAGACCGCCATTGTTCCTCCCCTCGTCTGAGGGGGCCGCCGTCTGCACGGGACGCGCAGTTATTCTTACAACACTGGGTGTTATTAAAACTTTTGTACGTATTTCCATTTACTTATACGGAGGAATTTTTATTGCTGTATTTACGTAATAATTTATGCAAACTGTGCTTAAGTAGACCATAAATAAATTAAAATATTTAAACAACAATAACCATGTTGACGATCTGCGGGCTCGTGTAATTAAAACGCAGCATCCCGCGAGGTCACACTCGCTGCGCTGGCCTTAAGATTACATTACCTTCAAACCAGCGTTAAATCTTTGTTTGAAATAACACTTATTTGCTCATTCATTTATGCATCACGTAACTAACAATCGTATTAAAATCATTAAATTTGACGATTACTCTAAATATTTTTTTGGCAAAAGCAATGTCTGTGAAAGTTGATGTTTAATCAACTGACATTTATAAACGTATAGGATATAATTACTTGATGTGATCTACGAGTATGTAGTCAGAAGTATTTTTAATATTTTGTTGACTCTATTTTGCAAATATTATACTTGTACTCTTAGATACGATTACGATACAAACTCAATCAAATCACTATAAAAATGTAATCGTTAAAAGACGCGACCGCGCTGCGCCATAGGCCCGCGCTCCAGGTCACCATAGCTTTACAAGCGAACACACGAACAGTCTTTTCTCTGCTCCGGCACAAAAAACTTCATCTATGTGTTTGTTTACTTATTTCCTGCTCACAAGTTTTATGGAAAATTACAATTTTTATAACAAATTACGATGGTCCATTTTATACTGGTGACATTTACTGGTATACATACTAATGTCCTACCGAAACTAATTTATAAAGCGTGATAAAAATACAATGTGAATGATATCATTTGTAATATTAAAGAAATTTACCACGTGAATGTCTTACTATTAAAATAACATTAAATAATGACGCCAAATCATCGCGGTGAGCTTATATTATAACATTGTAAGCTCCACGTGGGCCGTGGAAGTGGGTCAGACAGCAGTCAGCGCTCATCATATGTTAGTCGTAAAAAATACTGAGCCTAAAAAGAGTGAGTTGTTTCTTGCAAATAAACGAATCGCAAAACAAATTAAATCGCTAGTAGTTCATCGACCCGACTAAGAATCGGGATAGCATCTATGTGATGTCACTAATGTTGTATTTATAGAACTGTACGGCATGTACTCTGTTTGTTGACTATTTTTCTTACAGTTTCGTATAATACAATATGTAGGTAAACTGTAGATAAGGCGCTACAAGTACATATTAGCGAAGACAAATTGTTTTCTCTTCACGGTTTTAATTAACATACTCGTACAAGCAGTCCTATATCCTACTTTAATTTTATAGACATTCACTATTTTATTTATTCTTTTACTCATTAAAACGTAGTTGTTACTTTTTTAATCTAATTATTTTGACATTTAACATACAAAATTTATTTTCTTTACCAATAAATGTTACAGTAAGAAGTAATGTTTAGTGAAGTACTTAGTATAAGGTTTCGCTATTTTAATATACATATAATACCTGATTTCCACTACAAACTTTCATCCCCATTTTCACCCCCTTAAGGGATGACTTCAGGTATCCTATGTCCTTCCTAGGGTCTCAAACTATCTTCTTACCAAAATTCGTAAAAATCCAAAGTTCCGTAGATCCAGAAATTACCCCCTACAAAGTCTCAAACTCTCAAACTCTACTCTTTATAATATTAGTATAAAAACAGTTATTGATTATACTGGCCACACTGACGACGCAAACTAAATTATTTAATTTGACACCTTTGTAAATCATGCAGTTAAAAATGACAAGAACGATCAGGCCGAAAAAATAAGAAAATAAAATTAAAAATAGAATGAATAAATAAACAAAAGAGAGGATTGGTTAAAGGGGAGGTGATATGGGTGGATGCGATTCATGATTTTTGACTGGAGCAAAAAAATAAAAAATTGTTGAGAATAAGTGTTTCCTAATAAATTGTAACTAAATCTTTAGTGAAAATTCAAAATATACGAGTAGGTATAAGTTTTGAAACATGTTGCTGGCTTTTCCTGAGATATCCTACAATAGTTAGTTGAACTCGTAGTTACTGAGAGCGTCCAAACACACAGTGTTCGACTTGGACCTTGTCGTCAGTGTAACTGTCCGGAAGGTGCAGCCCCGGTGTGCAAACCTGCGCAGGACCGTTACACATTAGCGAGAGCAGCGACGAGTTATTATAATTAACGTCTTTTCTATTCCACTGACACAGTTGGCGGAGCGCGCCTCGCCGCCGCCCGCCGTCCGTCGTCCGCCGCCCGGCGCTGCGCGTGTCCCAGCGCTACTTAGACAATACCTATTGAATACCTGATTTAAACAATGCCTTATCGACAATATAAATTAGAATTTGAATAAATGCCAGCCCATCGGTGTGTCTGGATACTTATTTCACCTAATATCTGCAATGAACGTAGATTGAGCACACAGTCATTCAGACAATCGCTTTTTCACAACAACGCTAGAGGATGTCTTTCTTTGCCGTACGATTACTATATAAATTAGAAGTGTTATTAATTAGAATTTATTGCGTACATCGCGGTCGGACGCCTTTCTTTCTAAAGAATTTGTAAAATAGAGCAATGTAGAGTAGCATCAGTGGCCGGTGCGGCGCGACCAGTGTAGATCGCACTGGTGGCGTCACTTGCGCACGCGCCGGAACTCGATGCGCGGTAATTATATTTATGATATACTATTTATCGTAAACTATTGCTCTATGTCAGAAAAATATTTCATTATTCAATTAAGTAGAGAGATTACAACGCGCTCGGCGTTAGTGTGTACAAATATATGAATAGAGTACGAATTGGAAATGCATATATATACGAGTATATGTACATGTATTGCCGTATACTCGGCTATAAAGTTTCTGCGCTCTTTTAAGGAATCCTCGTCGCCACATGTGCCGACTGCCGACAGCGTCATAGAGCCATCGTGGCGGCGCGGTGGCTTGCGTTCTAGTTTATATATACAAATATTGTATATATACATAAGCGACTCATCCTCGCTTCGCTTTGGGTTCTTCCCTAGATAAAAACAAATCTATCCCTCTGGAACCGTACAATTTTCCGGGATGCTATATAGTCTATCGCCTTCCTCAATGAACGGGCTATCTAATGCAAAAAGAATATTTTAATTAGATTAGTAGTTTCTGAGATTAGTGTGTTCAAACAAACAAACAAACACACTCCGCCTCTTTATAATATTAGTATAGATTATACATTATTTATAAGGCTATACATTTTAAGCAAAATTGAAAATATATAAATAGAACGATAACTGGTTCTTATAAATACAAAAAAAAACTATACTGGCGCTTAATATTGTTTTAATTGTATAGACGATAACTGTTGTATCGTTCCAATATTATTGCTTTATAATTATTTTGTTTACAAAAAGGTTCTGTATTGACTGTTTTTGACTAAATTGGATCTTTGGTGTGAGTCACTGTGTAACTAACTTTCCTTCAGGTGGGCTGGCTGCTCGTTTGTCGTTGTATAAAAAAAATTACTGATAAATATCGAACTGTCGCATTTAACGTACATAAATATGTACTCGTATTATTAAACATAATTCACAGTTTAACTTTAATGCTTGAGTAAACTTAACCAAGTTATGTTTTTGTTGCAGGTATGTATCAACGGGAGTGACATCGAGCGGAAACGTATCGTCACGCAACGTGAGGTGCTCACTGCGTCTTGATCTCCTCGCATAGTTTTCTTAGCTACAAATACAAATATAACTTTATATTTTTGTCCACTTGCTAAGAAAACTTGCTACGTTCTCTCAGACATGACGATGATTTCCTTTACCATAAGACAAGTGGTAATCACGTTGGAAATATCAGAGGTGCGAGACCCGGGATTTGATCCCGCTTCACTCGGATAGCCAAGTGAGCGCGTTACCACTGGGTTATCTCTGTCCATCCAGACTTAGAACTGAGGCTGATTTCAGAATTCAGATCCACTTTTAAGTAGAAGACCGCGGGTGATGCGCACACCGCGTGCACTTCGCACAGACTGTATAGCCATGGCTTAAAATTTGATAGTTTATATTGTAAATAAAACTATCTTTTCGAATGCATCACAGCAATCATGGTCACGGGAGAGACTGAGGTGTTAGATGTCTCTAAGGTATTATATAGTCGTTACAGACAGCCTACCCACAAATAACAAAATAAATTCAAAAAATTGAAAAATGGCACCAAAGTACCTTAAAATATTTTTTATCTTTAAACATTTTTATATAATTTTAATTAGTTTTATAATTGAATATGGAATATTATTTATTTAATTGGAGCTGTTATTATTATAATTATTACAATTCTAAAAATATTATGTATCTATATTTTTAGTGTTGCCATTATTAGACTTATAACCATAAAGAAAAAACATAATATATTAATTATTTAAGTCACATAATTGATCTATGTGTAATTTGAAAAGTTAAAATTAATTAAAAATAATAATTTAAACTTAAATTTGCTATTATTTAAAAACAAATTATTAGGCAAAACACATTACATACATTTTCAAATGAAAAAATGAAAAATATTAATTTGAAATGCTGTCATTTTGATCCACACAGTAAGAACTTAATACATCTACTTGTCTGTTATGTTTAGATTTTTTATTTGATTTTATTATATTAATAACAGTATCCCATGACGGTGGTAGTACCCAGCCATCTTCCCTATTGAAATTTGGATGTTTCGAGAAGCCATAGAAATTAAAAAACATAAATCCGCACATAAATCCGTGAAATAATCCGAAAAGATAGTTTAATTTAAAATGTCAAATATTCGCGTAAATCTAAGGAAGTATTATTAATAGTTTATACTTATATTAAGGGAAAAGTAAAACATATAATTAAATTGAGATATTTTGGCGAGCCACATAATAAAGTTGTAAAACCATGCAATATTTAGAGCAACTCTTTTACACTCGTCACATATTGAATGTTACACAAAATCTCGTCAATTTCATAACTAAAGTCACCGGTCGTCGGCCACTCGGCGTCGCCGGTCCGATTGTCTTTCTTTTGTTTTATACTTAGCAACAATTGGCCTCCTTCGCGAAACACTCACATCAACTCATTGGTATTTTGCAATTCGAATGTGCGTGAAATGTATTACTTGTGCTGCAGTTTTTTATGTCATAAGTTAGGATTCGGTAGTTGCACCTAATCATCGTGAGTGTTCTGAACAATATTTGTTACTTGCGCTATATACAATATAGAATTATTCATAATAATTGTTGCTAATAATCTTAAAGAAAATAGATAGTTGTAAATCTATACTTATTATAAAAATAAGTCCCCCGGCCGCGTCTTTCTGTCCTCCTGTCTGTCTGTACGCGATAAACTCGAAAACTACTGAACGGATTTTTATACGGTTTTCAACAATAGAAAGAGTAATTCTTGAGGAAGGTTTAGGTATATAATTTATTATGCTTTTATGTAAATTAGCTGAAATACGGCGACAAATGTTGAAGAGGTCGCAAAAAATCTCGCCAAATGGGAACTTTCCACGCGAACGCCGCGTAAACTAGCAAAGATACAGTTAAGTAATGTACTAGAGAATTCAAAATCTATAAAAATGCTAAAAAAAGTCCGCGATAGCATATCTCTATCTCTTACGGTTGACTTACAATAACCACTTTTATGTTAACATTTTTAATTAAAAACATTACGTTATTTTACAAAGTTATTATATGAACGTCTAGTTCGGTATTAATCCTTATCCAAATGAATATTTTAGTTAGCTTAGTCATTTAATGGCTGATTAAAATTGCTCTTTCACTAATTCAACGAGATGTAGTTTTTTAGATATGCGTTGTTAGCGCGGGTAATCCGGGCGCGAAACATTTTTAATGCTTCGACCTTTGAGATGCCTACGGCGAGTCCATCCCCTTACTGCCCCGCATCGCTCGACCGCCTGCTCAAGCTATATAAACTTGTTGCTTTATGTAACATGTAAATTGCGATCCATAGGATACAATTTTTACCGCGGGAAAATATCTTATTTCTGAGGAATGACAATACAAAAACTGCAATGTAAGAGTATACTAATATGTAACACCTAAGAATTTAGTTTTTGGTCATCTGAACGCGGGCGGAGCCGCGGGCAATGCTAGTTATATTATAATAACAATATAACAATTAACTATACAATATAGTAATATAGTATTCAGAGTAGCGATAAACATCATATTATAGTAATAGATTTGGTGGCAAATTCAATGATGGCGTAGAGCGCCAGACAGTTGCTAACGTAGTACAGACTTATACAAAGAAATGTATGAGCTGCTTGCGTTCGAGGCCGCAAAATTGGAAACATTAAACGGAGAATGCACCAAGTCTCGCGTTCTGAACATACTGCGGATACTTTTGCAACATCTTACAGAAGTAGCAAAAGTATTCAATACATGCCTAATGCATATTTAGGGGTAAAATAGCCATCTGTGTAAGCTGATCCTGAAGTCGGTGCAACTTTGTTAGTTACAAAGTAATTATATGAACGTCTCAGCGGTGCCGGCGCCGGGCGCGGCGTCAGCTCCACGGGCCACGTGGTTGTGGCTGACATTTAAACACTGTGTTCAGTTAATTCAACGAATGTTAAGTATTAGATCGTGATGCTTCGAGCGCGGGTTCCGGGCGCGGGTTCCGGGCGCGCAGTCGTTGCCTTCTGACCTTTGAACTGGCGACGTCGCTAGACCCTTACTTAGTATTTGACACTCACACGTAGGTACGGCCTGCCGCTTTCTCTGCAAACTTGTTGCTTTATAACATGTAAATTGCATTGCACATAGGTACAATTCTCATTTTTCATATTAGTGTGTACGTAGTAGGTATGACATGATAAAAAAAACTGTAAAACGTACATTTTGTTTAAATGCATTTAATATATATAGTATTTCAACTTCCTAACCGTATTATGTATACGCTATGATATCGTAATGAAAAGTTAAAAAACATTGCAACCGCCAAATAATTTAGAGTAACCGTCGAGTCTCGTAAAAATAAGAACAGTAGGGTCCATCGAGGCTAGGTGCAATCGGTAAAGTCGTGACATTTCGTTAGCTCACTATTACAAGGTTCTATGTTACAATTTTAGTACTTATTACTTACTAGCTACAGTTTTGCAAAAACAAACCACTAGATAGCGGCACTTTAACTACAAAATATTTTATTTTACATATGTAGTTCTATGTGGTTTTTTTCACGATAACAAAATAACGAAGTTCTATGTAAAAATTACCAAACTTCATTAAAATTAACATAGAACCTTGTAATAGTAAGCCAACGATTTTTGTTAATTATTACCTTAGAGAGCGTTAAAATATACGTTCACCTCACTCTTACGTTACGTTTTGTCCATCAGACACTGAACTGCACTTCGAAACACATCACCATGGATAATAATAGTTTTTGTGCAATGGGAAAGTAATAAATAGTTGTTCGTAAGTTGGCTACAAGCCGTGACCCGCTTCAGGGCCTGGCGCTGGCGGTGCGGAGGAGCTCCGAGCTTAACCTCTTTGTACGACCTACTATGAATTGGAATGTAGATATTTAAACTCTCAAGCGCTTTATTTTTAAGTCCCATATTTTCTTCAAATGACCCTTGATATGAAAACATTTTCAATTATCATAACTTAAATGAAAATTTTAATACTGAAATATAAAAAAGATAACATTTGCTTTTAACTATCGATCTTCAAGTAACTATTTTTATTTAACACTATTAATCCATATACATATGTAGCTATTATATAATAACTTATTTTGAGATGAGAATCGAGATAATACTTTCTTAGAGTTACGCGAATATTTGACATTTTAAATAAAACTATCTTTTTGGATTATTTCGCAGATTTATTTTGATTTTTGATTCTCGAAGGTATGTATAGTTGTTACAGACAGCCTACCCACAATAAAAAAAAATGAAAAATTGCACCAAGTACCTTACAATATTTTATAACTTAACACTTTTATAATTTTAATTAGTTTTATAATTGAATATGGAATATTATTTATTTAATTTTTGCTGTTATCATTACAATTATTACAATTTTAAAAATATTAATTAGTAATCTATATTTAGTGTTGCCATTATTATATTTATAACCATAAAGAAAAAAATATAAAATATAATATTAATTATTTACGCCAAATAATTGTTCTATGTGTAATTAAAAAGTTAAAATTAATTAAGAATAATAATTTTAATTTTGTTTGCTATTATTTAAAAAGACTTGTCTTTCTGACATGACATGACATCTAACACCTCAGTCTCTCCCGTGACCATGATTGCTGGAAAGCAATTCGAAACGTCGGGAACCAAAAATCAAAATAAATTCGCGAAATAATCCGAAAAGATAGTTTTATTTAAAAAGAATCGAGATAACTTCATCATATGCGATACGAGACACTATCATTAAGTGCTCCAACGAGTTCTTATACAGCTTTAAATAATTTACTCATGCCCAGATTAGGCCAAGCTATAATTTTCTAATTTATTAACTGTTAGAGTAATATCGGTTCCAACATTTCTCTGGGTAATGCTCGTAATTCCATCTCTCGATCGTCATCGTAAATCTCGCGCTAATGGCATGTTTGCGAGCGTCTTACTAAGCTTCAACATACATAGCAACCTACTATATCATTATAAAGTGATATTAAAAACCGACTGTTCTCATGAAGTGTACGACTCTCTGTAATGTGTATGCACCTAATTCGGGTTTATTAAATATTTTCTTATTGCAAAAATCAGGAAACGCTCTTCTCAATTAGTTTATTTTATGTAAAAGTGTTTCGGGAAGGTAAAAATAGTCTTTTCATAAACTTATAAAAGAGAGCAGAGCTAAAAAGCTAATCGGCGACGAAAAGCTTGTAAAAACTAAGCTTCACAGCTTAGCACACCGTCGCCAAGTTGCTTGTCTGTCGGTTTTCTACAGACTGTACTTCGGGGAGTGTGCCCATGAGCTCCACAGTCTCATACCGCCATCGCCATTCTTCTATCGGAACACCAGACGTACTGCAGGATACCATCCTTTCTTGGTTGACATTCCGACCACGCGCACTAAGCGCTATTAGTCATCTTCTATAATGCGTACAGCCAAGAAGTGGAATGCCCTGCCTGCGTCTGTTTTTCCGAGTGCGTATAACCTGAATCTATTTAAGGTGCGTGTTAACAGGCTTCTTCTGGGCAAACTCGCTAGATCGTAGACCTTATCTGTGCCTTCGAGCTAAGATGAAGGTCAAGAGTGAGCCCATTTCTAATAAAAAAAAACTTAGAAGATTTTTATTTGATTTATCTCGTAGTCAAGTTTATTTATCAAGTGGGTGTGGTGGGTGGTAAGCTCACTCGACAGCCTCAGGCGACGTCTTCGGACCGACGCGACGAGTCCACGCTAAGCGTCCACGACAAGTTAATTTGAAAACATGCTTCTAATCATGTCAAATAACTGTAAACATATCACTCTATCTGTGCACTTCGTTGAATTTGATAGAGCTTAGCCATGTGGCGTCTTTACTGGACACAAAATTACTTCAGAAACCTTTTGCATTATTACATTATAGTGTACCAACTTATGTTACACCATCACATATTATTTGGCTTTTCAATTAAAATATACAGATGTAGGTACTCCATTTAAAGACAATCGCTTAAACATATTTTTATTATTACACTCTCTTTTTATATTATTTATTTCTTACTAGCATATTTATAATATTTCTTGTCTGTTTTAAAGATCAGATCTTATGCTAAAATAATAGTGTTAACGTGAAAGCCTGCAGTAGGTGTATCTATTGTTAATTTGTTCAGGAAGAAACACAAACAATATTAAACGGCACGTGCGTCGTAAAGACCGCGACAAATACTTTTATCACCACTTATTGTTAATAACTAATAATATAGTTATGTATGTAGTTGTGTTTGCCCCGAACTAGCGCCGTCGCGCGTCTTCCGGCGAACGGTACTTTGTTCACTTTGTTACATCAACATTTCTGGAAACTGATATTATTTTTTATCAGTAGGTACATACGTATATAAATAGTTTTAGATTAGCTAAATATTTAGTTTAATTTATCACGTTTATTATCAGATAGAATACACTAATAGATTACCAACATGTAAATAGTGTAATCAAAGACCTTGGGTGTTTTCTACCAGCGACAAATCCATAAACAGACATTCATGTATACTCTCAAATTCCCCGTTGTGGGGTTATTTATTTAGTCCATTCCTTTATGTAGGTATAACATTTCCGGCTTTCTTCGTATCTTATGATGAGCTCCGCAATTCCGTAATTAACTTTCTAATTAGCAAAACTAGCGGAATGAGATATTCCATACTGTAGTCATGTAGTTCAACGTCGCCGGCGGAACGTATTAGCACGTCAAATATTTGTATGCCAAATAGAACATTTGTGGAGAGCCTATGATGTGACGTCACGGATCCAAAATATTGTTTATAAAGTTGTAGCTGATGCAGTAAGCGTTTCGTCGCCGCAGTCGCGGGCCACAGTGTGAATGGGTTACTAACAAGATTACTTAAATTAACATCACTGACAGATGAACGATCAAGAGGATTGATTTAAAGATGGGTGTTTAAGACGTCAGTTATCTCCTTCTTAGACGCTCAGTCGCTGGATGCCTCGACAACAGTTGGCAGATCACCAATAGCTCTGAAGCCATTCGTCTCTGATCCTGAGCACTCAGGATATGCGTCAAGCACTTAGATATTTTTTTCTCCTCCGAATGTGTCACGTCGAGATGCTATTTCTGCTGCCGTACTTGTTTGTTTTATTTTACTGCCGACGCGACGCAAAGATGTTTGCGTAACGTTGCATTACTATGCAAATGTACAAATAGGTATTATGTAGGTCGCACATTCGGCGATTTATTGGCGATTCGAGTTAAAGTTGAATAGTTTCTTTATGAATTATTTTATATTTTGTTAATAATATTTTTTATTTAGTACAAATAAAAAATGTTAAACATTTTATAAGACGAAAAATGATATATTCTGATGAACAGTAAATAAGTAAAAAATAAATTAAATAACAATCAAAAAAATGTAACAAAACATTAAATTATAATTATAACTTCAGAACTGATGATTCATGTTTTAATAAAAAACCTCACACGCGTCCCGCGTTACAACTAGCTTGTAAAACAACAAGACCGCTTCCGTCTCCGCCGCGACCCCCGGGACCGGCCGGGAGAGACCGGGACACAGCTGCAAACTATAACAAACCAATGGGTTGTTGGCCCTCCTTGCTTTTTGCTCGTATTACCAGTCTGACGTGTTTTCTCGCTAAAAGCTGGTAGGAGGCGAGGGGGTTGCCGGAGGGTAACCGGGAGGGGATGTGGTTAGACGGCTATCTATTAGATGACGATTTTTGCAACACAAGGAACAATGCGTGTTTTGTTTGAAAAATAAACTTCCTTTCTGACAAACCGTCTTTTATTACAGTTGTAGTCGCCACGAGCAATGAATAAATAATGAAAAACAGGATGCGTCGATAGCGTAATAAGAAATATATAATGTAAATATTAATAATTGAGGAAGTGCGTTTT